CCGTTTGAAAGAGGATCCTTTTGGCTTCTAACATATATATTGCTCTATTGTATCCCAATTGAGCACATTTGTCTTAACTGTGAACATTTTCACCCATTCCATTGATGAGGGTTTCATCACCCAACCCGCACAAAAACCATCACCGTAACAAAAGAGACCAAGGCTCTCAAAAGGTTTGAATTGTAGAATGAGATAATAGAGATAAAACATATTAGTATGAAGACTAAGTTTTATCAGTTGCTACTTGTTGCTAGGCTAGTTGAGGGATTGAAAAACGATATGGAATTGGCCAAATGGGAGCAATAGGCCTCAAAATAAACTAGGCATATTGATAGTAATGGCCACGAGTAACAAACTTATACTATATTATTTTTGTAGGGCCTCCTTATTTTTTTTAGACTGGCCCAATTCCATTAATTATTAGAGCTTCTGATAATACAATAGGCGGTTGACTTCTATTCCCAAACTATATTTATTGGGCCCTATATTGGCTTTTGTTGTCTTGGAATGATTCCCATAAGTCCTCAACTCATGCATGGGCTCAGCAGATAAATTTAGCCAAAAAAGTAAATGTTGCTAGTGTTGTAGTGCAATGTGGAAGACCTTAAAACTTTGAGGCCTTATGCTGGGGGACCTGCCTACACAGGGCTAGGGTTGGGCCTAGGTGATGTAGCAGGAAATTTCAATCGATAGGAAATATTACGAATCATTTTCAATACTTCAATAGATATATAGAACGTTGGGTAAGTTTCTGAGTTTTTGGTATACCATATCACCCACCTAGAATTCCCTCCCTTTTCTGTGTCTATCTACCATTTGCTTATGGCAATTTAGGCCATGACCAAATTATCTCTCAAGATTCCCACAAACCTTTGTTGCTGATGCAACTTAACTCCATCCACTAAAGTGGAGAGAGTGTGCTTCAATGCAAATTGAGTGCGGCAATAACCATATAATGTGTTAAAAGGAAAGACCTGGAAGCTGTTGTGATAATTGGTATTATACCAACAATAATCCAAGGGTAACCAAGAATTCCAAGTCCGAGAGCAGAGTGATGGACCATTCTTCACAAGTAGTCTTCCATGCATCTGTTTAACCTTTCTGTCTGGCAATCAGTTTGGGGATGATATGCAGTAGAATTGTGAAGATCCACAACCTGTAACTCAAAGGGCTTAGTCTAAAAAGAACCAGTGAACACTACATCTCAATCTAAAACAATGGTCTGAGGAAGACCATGCCGTTTAATGACTCCTTCAAAGAAAATCTTATCCACTGAGGCTGTTGTGAAGTGTCTGGTCATGTTGGAAAAATTACCATATTTGGACCACCTGTAAACTACCACAAATACTACCTCCTTCCCACGAGATTTAGTCAAACCATATATGAATGTCATTGACATATCCTGACATGCTCTCTCAAGAACCGGCAAGGGTTGTAACAACCTTGGATGCATTGTCTCAGTCTTACATATCTGTTACACTTCTCAATAAACTCCTTCAAATGTTTCTTCATACTTGGCCACTATAAATAATGCTTCGGTCATTGATAAAAGTTTGTAACCCTATGTTGCCTCCTATTGAAGAACCATGGAATAACTGGAGCAGTTGGACCCTCATCTGTCCTTGAGATCCAACATAGAAAGCTCATTTGTGATAAAACAGTCCATTCTCCACAATATTAACCCTTGGTCCAACAAGTGCTCGAGTCAACAATGCCTGCACCTCAGTATCGCCCCCTTAAGTTTCTTTCATATCACTAATCCATAATGGTAAGACCGCAGAGATGCCTTGACAACCACTACCAGCTGAGAAAGCTGGATTTCTTCATAAGGCATCAACAACTTTATTCAACTTGCCTTGACTTTACTTAATCTTAAATTCCAGTCCAAACATCTTGACTAAACCTTTCTTTTGTATTTGAGTGTGGACTTTCTGAAAGCAAATACTTCAGACTATCATGATATGTGAGAATGGTAAATGCCTCCCTTCCAGATAGTGCCTCCACTTAGTAACTGTTAATATCAAAACTAGGTACTCCTTTTCATAAGTTGACCGCCCTTGCTTCCTTAGTCCCAAGGCCTGACTATGGTAAGCCAGTGGTGTTCCCGCTTGTGATAAGACAGCTCCCACCCCAATATCACTTGCATCAGTCTCTGGGGGAAAAGGTTTGGAGAAATCTCGAAGAGCCAACACGAGTGCTTACACCTAGCTGACTTTAGTAGTTGAAATTCCCTTTAGGTTGTAGGTGACCACTTAAAATTGTCCTTATTAAACAATTTAGTCAGGGTATTGGTTATCCTGCCACAGTTCTTAACAAACTTCCTATAGTATCTAGGCAACCCAAAAAAATAACCCCCTTAGTTCCTTTACACTATGTTTATGATTGATGGGGGAAAGAAAATAATGGGGAAGGGAAAGAAAACCAATTTTTCCTTTGTTCATGCAAAAAATAGGAGAGGGGATATGACCGGACCACCACATTTTCTGTATCTACACTGTACAAATGTCCCCCAATTTGGAGAGAAAGAAAAGGTTGGAGTTAAAATTAAATTATTTTATTTTATCTTTTCTTTTCTATTTGTGTATCTAAAATGATAAAGTAATTTTTTCATAAAAAATATTATCTAATGACCTTTCATCGATTTATCTAATATCTTATTATTTTATTATAAATAACATTTCCCCCTTCTCCATTTTCTTTCTCACAAAATATTCACCACCGCATAATTTTTAACACCCCAAAATTTTCTTCCCCCTCTTTTGATGAACATAGCCTTACCTATTTTGGAACAGGGCACCCCACCATTGCTTCAATCTTAGAATGGTCAGTAGCTACACCCTCTTGATTAATGACACGATCCAAATATTTCATCAGTTGCGGATGAAAATAATAACACTTAGATAGTTTGACAAACAAGTTATTGGTTCTAAGGATGACAAGGGTGAGGGCTAGGTGTTTATTATGGGATTTATATTCAGGATATGTACCAGAATATAATAAAAAAGACTCAAAGAATAAAGTCTCTCAAGTGTGTGTGTGTGGGGGGGATTTGGTTCATTAAAGATTGGAATGTGGATGGGACATTAGAGAGACCTAAAGGTATCACAGTAAACTCATACAGACATTCATGTATTCTAAAGGCGTTTTTATAATGATCATCATTTAAGAGAGTATGAAAATGACAAGTGACTGAGTAAAAATCACCTGATCATGCATTTTGATTTTTAGATAAACAAAATATTTAAAATTTTATGTAACTTTATACTTAGTTAGTTGAATGAGTTTTGTTTTATCATGTACAATAATGTGTTTACTTATAATATTTGTGATGTTTTAAATATTTTATTTATGATTTAGAAGTATGCTTATTTTTGTTGGAATTAGTGGCAATCGGTTGCAATGTACTGTTTCATCCGTGAGTCAAAATCGAGTGTTGAGTGCTTTTATTTAGTGTATTTTAGCTTGGTGTTAATAACGTGTATAAATTTATTCATGCAAATGAGTATAGTTATGCATTTAAAATTTTATTTATATTAAAATTGTCGCAACCGCCCCTCGAAAATCGAGGTATCCGTTGGGAATTGCTCGGAGTCGCCATTGATCATATTTGTGGTGGATCGAACACCTTTTGGCCGGTCTCGACCTTAGCGTCGAAACCGGGAATTGGTCTGCGAAATTTTTTTTTAGAGAATCCGGGTTCGGGAGTACGGTTACGTGTGGGTGTGTATTCACACCCCACAACGCCCCAAATGGGTACTACTTAAATCGATAAGTTTTGTAAGGGTTGGTGTATTTATTATTTGCAGCTTTGATGTATTTAATTATGTGATTTGATTAATTAGATAGTCATTATTTGAAATTTGTTAATTACGTATTTTGGAGTCCAATTGGACTAATGAGTTAAAATTTGTATACAATTAGATTATCCATCTATTGACGCAAAATCTAGAAAGTAAAGAAAATATTTTTTATTAGTTGGACTCGAACCTATTGGTTGTCTACGTACCCGTGTTAATCGGGATCAAAGTCCACGTAGTTCGTCAATTGAAGAGTTTTTAGAGGATGAAACCTAAGACGTTCTATTGATCGTGTTTAAGGTATGAGATTGAGTTTTTGAATATATTTAGCATTTTTTAATTTTGTAATTGAGTAGTTGATAATTGTTCAAAGATTTTCGTAAAAAACGACTAGCATGGTCTATTGACCATTGCTTAAGTATTAAATATTTAGAAATTTTGACATGTATAAATAATTATTATAATTAAATTAAGCTAAATATTTTGTCATGTTGAATTGGTGTGAGACTTACGTATTAAACGTGTCAAGTTAAAAATTAGGTGCCAATTAATCATAACATGGCACAGGCTAACGCCTAATTAGTAGCATTGACAAATCAGAACTGTAGTTATTTTAACTGACAATAAAAGGGCAAAGTTGTCATTCACAATTTATCACACCACTTAACAAAACTCTAATCCCTCCGCCATTTTCATCTAGCGGCCTCCAACTCCATCATCTCTTCTCGACTCTTCTCTCTCCAGAAAACAAACAAAACTGAAAGAGAGGAAAAGGAAACGATGCAATATGCAACCTTCTCGTTTCATCTTCTACGTCTTACTCCTCTCTCGTGTTCGTTTTGGAAACCCAGAAAAGACTCGAAAAAAGAAAGTACGGTCCTCGAATCGACGGTAAATCAAGATTCAAGGCTTGCATGTTCAATTTTTAGGGGGTTTTGATTTGAATATGGTTTCTGATGATTTTTTATTTCTGGATTTTCAAGTTTCCTGGTAGAGATGGAGGAGGAGCAAAACAATCGAGGGAAGGTCGCCGCTGACGGGCACTGGCGATGTTGCCGGCGCTGGCGCCACGAAATGGGTGAGGTCTTATTTTTGTTTTGATTCCCGATTTGGGCAAGTTTTGGGGCTCTGAACCCTTTTCTTTTGTTTCGTTTTCAGTTTAGGTTTCGATCGATGGAAGGGAGAAAAGCAACGGGGAAGAAAGGAAACAGAGGGTCGCCGCCGGCAGCTGTGTTTCACCGGCGTCGACGAATATGACAAGAGGTGGACTTTTATTTTGGTAAGTTTTTGGGATTAAGAGGCGTTTGTAGGTTTGGTGATGGGTTTGAGCCTGGGAATCATGTGTGTTGATGATGGAGTATAGTTTGGTTTTGTGTATGGTTGGTATATGGAATTTGGATTTTTGGGATTTAAGAGTCGTTTATGGGCATTGGGTGCTTCACTAGAGAAATTGAGTGTTGGGAATGTGCTTAGATTAAAGGGGATGCCCTTAGCGCGAAAGACAGGTATTTTAAAATACCTTCTAAGTCGAGTTTAAATGTGTTTACTTGGAATGAATTGGTAGGAATGAGATGAATAATGATGATTATGATTAGATAATGATATACCAACCTTGTTGCTTGTAGTTTGGTGATGATTATGACTCATTTCTCAACTTCTGTGGGTGTTTTGCTGCTGCCTCCTTTTCCATTTTGTTGTTGTCATCCGGGTTCGTGAAGAAAGCAGCAGCAGAAGTAGAAACGAGTTCTTTTTGGCTTTTGTCTTCTTTTTTGTGGCTGTGCGTGAGAATGAAATGGAATGTTTAGAGTTGCCTTTTTTTGCTGGGATTTGTTTTTGTTTATTTCCTTAGTCAAGAAGGAGAGAAAGAGAGATCGTGTGTTGTTTTCTTTTGTCATGGATTGTAAAAGAAGGGAAGTTCGGCAATGTTTTCCTTGTCTGTGTGTAGGAGGCGAGGTAGAGGAAGGAAAAGAAAAGGAAAGTGGATCCGTCGGTTTTTTTCGTGTCCGACAGAAGAAGGAAAGAAGTTCGAGGAAGAAAAGGATAAATCGAAGAAAGAAAAAGACCTCCCAAGAAGTCTCGTCCCGCTCCTCCTTTTAAGAGCTAAGGGCTCCTTTTTTTTTTATTATAGAAATTACTACTTGTTCCCCAAGTTTGCAACAGTAGTGGGTTGGGTTTGGTCGGACCTGTCAGAATTTGGGTCGGACCGTCTGTGTTGGGTCCGACCTGAATGGTTCACTTTTGTTGACTTCCATTGACCTTGGGCTTTGACATTGTTGACCAAAGTTGACTGATTGGATTGGACTTTGACTTGGGGCTGACTGATGGGCTCTATTTGTTGATTTTCCCTTCTACATGTAGCTACTACTAATTACTAACAGTGTTATGTTCGTTCATTATATAGTAATCTTATTTTTGATTATTGTAATTGTAATTCCTATTGTAATTGTCATATAAGAGACTTTAAATAAATAAGCTTTATTTTGCTATTTTTCTTTTCCAAAAGTCAAGGTCCAATGCAAGTCCAATGCCTTATGAATTAATTTAATTGGTCAATTCATTCGACAAACAGAGTCGAGCGAATGTAGCTCGTCTAATCAAACCAAAACACGTCAATTTTAACAATCAAACAATATTGATTGAAATTTGCTATTGCGTAATCTCAATTGAGTTATGGAAAACAAGACTCATTCTTAAAATAATAAATACGTTTTAGTTAGGTCATTTAAGATTCGCTATTGCAAACCTCAAATAAAAACTAAATTTATTTAATTAAATATATATTTTAACCCGGACAAAAAATGGTGTCTACAAAAATATTTTAATATTTTCTAACATATGAAATTTACATTGTTGTTGATTGTGAATGATTGTTAATGAACTTTCCATCAAAACCTGGGTGTAGCTAGGTTGTTTACAGTACTTGCTCATGTGGGACATGTAATTGACTGGATACATTTAATTAGTTGTGATACCATATAAACATAGTGGTGAATATATTGTTCTTAGTTGCCACATGAGTTAATAGAAATAAAGTAAATGCTAACTCTAGTATATGTGACAACTAAATAGTTAAATGTGATAGAATTCTACATATAAATATAAGTGAGCTAGAGAGCTATGAATGGATTTATTACCCATATTAGGTGAAATTTGAGTTCGTTCAATTTGTGGAGAGAGTTAGCGTTGACAAATTATTCTTTGTACCAATATTTCATATATTCAGTTGAACCAATATATCATATATTCACCATCGGCCAATATATCATATATTCTTTGTACCAATATATCATATATTCACCATCGGCCAACTTTCTCTGATTTTGAGATTTGCATCATCGCCATCCTCAGGTGCTGACGACACTACTCCAACTTAGAATTCTTCCCTACCAACTTTAATAGCTTCAGTGGTTCATGCGCTTAGAGTTTTGTCATAACTGAATAGTTTTAGAAAGCGAAGTTGCCTATAATTTCACTTTGTACTGAACCCTTAAGATGATGTTGTTCAATCTATATAATTAAACATAAAAAATTTGTTATTTGTCCACTGCTCTCTCAAATATGCATGCTAAACTTATACTATAGCAATTAATATAAAAGTAGAGATCAATTATATGACAATGATTTGTAAACTTTTGTTAGTATAATGAGTTAAATTCATTTCACTCATTCATATTGAAAATGGTAACAAATTAAAAAATATATGTCAATGTTCCTATATTATATGTAATATATAATTCGTGTAATGTTCAACAAAGAAGATACGAATTAAAAAAAAAAAAATCATGCATACATTGAACTCTATCAAAGTACAATCATTTCCTTTTATGGTGAAGATTGATTATGTTTGTATCATAGGAAACAAATCACATATTATTTATCGGTTGTATATATATGTAATACTTTGTTTGTAAACATAAATGTCACTATCAGATGCATTCCTTTGTTAGTCATTTTGACTTTCTCATGGTTTCGATACGTGCTAAGCATACTCGAAGTGATTTTAGTATTCAACTAGATAGTTCATAAGCAAATACCAAAGAAGACAGACATCATTAATGTACATTAAACATACAAATTATATAACCATCAAACTCTACCGGTCTGTTGGCGAGGCCTTGTGCTAGTAATCATTAATAACTTAATATAGGTTGCTAATATGGATGCCACATGCACGTCAACTAAGTTACAGTTATTTATCCAAAAAAAATTTACAATTTAAATAAAATAAGTTTCATAACCAAATTAAAATAAAAAAAATAATGAGAAGTGGTGCATCGACATGGATTTATACTTAGAGTGGCTGTGATGGAGAGATTGAGAACCCAAGACAAGCTTCTTGCTTAGGGGGAATCGGTATCTGGATTCTGTACTTTGTGCCTGGCTGATGTACAAACTTTTTCACCTTTTTTATGTGTGCCCTGTTATACAGTTCATTGTTGGAAAATTTATGCACTCGCTCGCCCTAGTTGCAGGTCTTAAGTCCTGGACAGAAGTGGTTAAATGGTGTTACTTTTATGGAAAAGGAAAGTCTTCAAAAGTGATCGTGGCAGACGGGCCTGGAGTTTTGATATCAGTCTTGTTTGACGCAAAATATGTTTGAGAATGTATGGGAGAGGTCCCCCCTAAGTTAGTGAGTGTTGAACTCTATAGGATTCTTAACTGGAAGGCTGAAGGTGGTAAGTCGTTGCAGCCTGCAGAGGGTGTTTTTTTTTTGGGTGCTCCATGGTTTTTTTTCCTTTGAGTAGATTGAGCTTAATGAATTTTTTGATCAGCCATATTAATATATATAAAGCAAAAACAGGGTTACTGTTGCCCAAGAGCAATTAATTAGCGTGAACATTCCTAATTTTTCCCGTGAGCGCGCGTGGGCAACACTCTCTTTCTTCCGGTTGGGTTTCAGCTCACGGCCACGGGCTTCGTGTTTTAATGGACTGGGCTTAATTGAGAATGGTTGGGAATACGATTTCCGGATCCGAAATTTGAGAATGTTGATGATCAATCTCCGACGAAGAATAGCTAAGGGAGTAGAAAGAGAATCTGTACTCTGTAGGGAATGGAGGTATAGAAAGAGGCCTTCTTCTCTGCCGCCGATTACATCAAATCGAGGGAATGGGATATTTTGCTTGCAACGAAAATGAGAAGATTTAAATAGAATCTTAGCGGCATCTCAGCCAGGTAGAAGAAATCCCATGCATAATTTTTTTTAAAATCCATACTGAATCAGGCGCGCAACAAAGGGATGAGGAAATCGACTAACAAAGTAACCGGCGAAGGAAGCTAAGAATTCGATCGGCAGAATCAAGGGGAACAAAAGACTAACATCAATAGACTCATAATTGTTGGAAATAAAATAATTTATTTCCTTATTCTACTTTGGTGGGCACGTTGCTTTTGGAATGAGCAGCTTGGTTGGTTATTTGGAGGAATGAAATTTTTTTTTTTTTTTTTTTTTGACAACCGGAGGAATGAAATTGGATTGGTAGGGAATAATTGGGAAAAGGGAATTGGCAGAGAGATTTTTTAGAGGTGGCTTCTTTTATTGCTTTGCTTTTTTCTTTCTTTGGCTCTGCTGCTCAAACGTACATGGACAAGCCTATTTATAGGCCTTCAACTCCTCCTAACCGACATCAACATGTGGTCTTTCTTTTTCTTCATTTTTTTAATCACACCTAACAACTAACCTCATTAGATTCTACACACTTCTGCACAACTAACACATACAGATTTTTTTTCTTCACACCAGTACACACCACACACATCACTTAGCTTCTAGGATTTTCTGATATTTTGCAGCTTTATTTAATTAAACTTTAATTAATTTCAACACTCCCCCTTAAAGTTTAATTAACCGTAACTCCGAGTAGCGTCCTCATTTTGACGAACACATCTTGCTTCAGCGGCTTCGTGAAAATATCAGCAATCTGGTCTTCAGTTTTCACATATTTCAGCGTCACTTCTTTTTGCTCCACACATTCTATTAAGAAATGATATCTCGTATCAATATGCTTACTGCGATCATGAAACACCGGATTCTTTGCTAACGCCAGGGCAGACTTGTTATCCACATAAATTTCAGTTGACTCTTCTTGTGTCATGTTCAACTCCTTCAACAACTTTCTCAACCATATCGCATGACACGCACACGATGTCGCAGCAACATACTCAGCTTCACAAGTAGATAGTGTCACGATGGCTTGCTTCTTTGAACTCCATGTGAAAGCTGTATCTCCCAGGAAAAATACAAATCCTGTAGTGCTCTTGCGATCATCTACGTCTCCTGCCCAATCACTATCGCAGTATCCAACCAATTTGAAATCTTCTGATTTAGTATAAAGCAAACCATGATTGATTGTACCTTTTATATAACGTAATATCCTCTTGGCAGCATTCCAATGTGATATTGTTGGCGCCTCCATGTATCTGCTTACCAATCCAACTGCGTAGAGAATATTCGGTCTAGTACAAGTCAGATATCTCAGACTTCCCACGAGACTTCTAAACTCTGTTGAGTTGACCTTCTCTCCTTTATCATCCTTGGATAACTTTAGTCCGCACTCGGCTGGTGTGCTCACAGGATTACAATTCTCCATCTTAAACTTCTTCAGGACTTCCTTGGCAAAACCACTTTGTGAGATGTAAATTCCTTCCTCCTTTTGACTTACTTCAATTCCGAGATAGTATGACATTAGTCCGATGTCTGTCATCTCAAACTCACGAACCATCGTCTTCTTGAACTCTTCAAACATTTTAGGATTGTTGCCTGTGAAGACGAGATCGTCTACATATAGACAAACTATCAGGATTGCTCCCCCTTGCACCTTGCAGTATAGTGCATGCTCATGTGGGCATTTGTTGAACCCAATCTGCTGAAAATACTTGTCAATCCTGCTTTTCCAAGCTCTAGGTGCTTGTTTCAGACCATACAGTGCCTTTTTCAGCTTCAACACCTTATCTTCTTGGCCTTCAACGACATATCCAGGGGGTTGCTCAATATAGATATCTTCCTCGAGATATCCATTCAGAAAAGCTGACTTCACATCCATTTGGTGTATCTTCCATCCATTTTGAGCAGCGAGAGATATCACCATCCTGATACTCTCCATTCTCGCCACGGGAGCAAAAACTTCATTATAGTCAATGCCGGGTCTTTGACTATATCCTTTAGCCA